TTAGTAACAGAAGAGAATGATACTCCAGCGTTGGATTAGTTCATCTCTTTTCTTTCAACAATTATGCCTCTGATTAGACTTCGCAAAGTCCTAATGAACTGTGGTCGCCTAGAATTTGTGTCCAGACCCACCCGAGAATGAAGATGTACTATCAAACACAACAATAATGCATCGAGAGTTCTTGTTAGAGCCATGAGAACTTGAAATGTGAACAGTAGAGGAAGTCTCGAGAATTTAAGTCGCTACTCTACTCCATAGTCAGACTTCAGTTCCAATGTTAAAATAATATAACCCCACCGATCAATAAAAGGGCGCGCCTTGCCAAGCCTCAACGGTGCCTATGAATAGCATCAAAAGCAGCACACAACACCTGATATTCTGGTGTCAGCAGACTAAAAGATGGAACGCCTTTGGTCGGATCTGTGAAATCAATACATATAATATCAATAGAGAGAAGCAGCTACTCACTAGTATTCCAGCATCATTATCAATCATTTAAGCAAAGACGAAAACATCGACGCAATTATCGATATGAAGCCAGCAACTGATCGCAAAACAGCACTCATCCTAATCGATGTTCAGAATGGCTTTCTCCATCCAACAGCCTTTGGTGATCTCGCAACTCGCAGCACGCCGAAGTGTGAGGAAAATATCGCAACGCTGCTTAGGAGGGCCAGAGACTACAATGAAAAATCACTAGGGGCAAGCACCTCATTGCCCGTCCTCATTTGCCATGTGCACCATCACAGTATCAATCCTGCCTCTATGTTGCATCCCATCAAACAGATAGAAGTCGATGGAAAATCAGTACCTGCAGTCCACCCACTGAAATTTGCAACTCCTCGTTATAACGAGAGGATTTGGACAAAGAACGTCAACTCGGCATTCATTGGAACGGGGCTGGAGACCTTTTTGAAGGAGAACGGCGTGAGGCAATTGGTCATATGCGGTTTGACCACAGATCACTGCGTCAGTACATCGACGCGCATGGCGAGCAATTTGAGAATTGCCGATGTCATGGAGAATGGGAAACTTGTGGATGAAGGTGATATTGTGCTAGTGGGAGATGCTTGTGCAACATTTGCAAAAGGAGGTATTGATGCTGAAACAATACACCAAGTCAATCTTGCTAGTTTGGATGAAGAATTTGCGCAAGTAAGAGAGACGATAGATGTTGTTGAGAAGGTTTTCGTGGAGGTCTAAATAGGTGACTGGTTTTGTCCCAAGCTAGCATATTTCATAGTTGGCTTGCCATATAATTCAAGAATGAAATGTAGATACGATTTATAGTTTTGTGAAGCTCAAGAATGAAATTGGATCTCCTCTCCAACAAGATCTTGTAACTTTAAGAAACTTGAAGAGGTAGACGGCAACAGATAATTTCGGAGAGTCTCTCCACATGCCAATGGAAGCAACTTTCTTACACATTAAGAGTAAATATTGAACATCACGATCATACTTATGCTGGCTGATTAAAACGACAGTAACAAGCAACGACATAGGAGATAAACATCAACCACCTAATTCGTCATTTACAAAGATTGTAAAGCAACAAGTCTTCGAAGTCATACCCAAATTTTGAATTGATTTGGATTTTTGAAATGACAATCGAGAAATTTAGTTTGGTAGGATCATTATTTTCGTACGGGGCCTCCGGGCCAAGTAAGCGGTAACGAAGGGCAAAATAAATAAAGAGACCGCGATGTACGCGACTAGGTAGGAGACGCGCAAAGTGGAAAATAACATTTCTTAATTCTCATGTACATTCAACATTTGAGATTATTTTGAAAAATGGACTCACTTCACGAAGGTTATCCTGATGCTTCAACAGTTGATAATGCGTCTCAACCTTTAAAAGGCATGATTGTTTGCTGTACCAATGTTCCAGATGAAAAGCGTGTAAGTTTTGTCTATCATATCAATGTTTATAAGTATTGAATGGTCAAGACTTGCATGATTTGCAACATACAAGCGCACATTTCTCAATTTGAACCCAATTGCTAACTTGGTTCATTTTCAGACAGAGTTAAATACCCAAGCAGAACAAATGGGTGCCAGTATTCGAGCTGATCTCACAGTCGAAGTTACCCACCTAATCGTTGGGCATTGGGATACTCCAAAATATCATTATGTTGCCCAGTTTCGACCGGATGTTCGACCGATGACAACGGATTGGATTGCGACAGTTCGGAACCTTTGGGTAAATGATCATGATATAGATATGGATTTATTGGAGCGACAATATACGTTACCTACCTTCACTTCCCTTAGAATCAGTATGACCGGATGCGATGACACGGCAGAGAGGCAGGATATTGCAGAAAAGATCAAAGCGAATGGGGGAGAGTATGATGGGAATTTGACCAAACAAATCACACATCTAATATCATTCCGAACAGAAGGCAACAAATATAAGGCAGCGAAGAGTTGGGGTTTGCGGATAGTCTCTGCTGAGTGGTTATCAGATAGCTTGGAAAGAGGAATGATTTTGAACGAGAAATACTATGATCCTTCTTTACCAATAGATGAGAGAGGAAAAGGCTCTTGGGACAAAGATAAGCCCAGGATAAATTCATCGAGGAAGAGGGCCAGGGAACAATCGATGTCTGGTGTCGAAGAGGGTAAAAGGAAATTACGCAGAACTGCAAGTACGAAATTAAACACCCAAAGCCAAAGTATATGGGGGGATATTGTTGGTAGTGGCAATTCAATCCAGGTGTCGAGAAGCGGAATTTGGGATACCAGTGATAGCTTTGGACCGGCAGAGAATAAACAACTCGAGAAAAGCAAAGAAGTTACACCACTTAAAGCTAAAACCCTTGACCTTGTTCAAGAACCGAACCAACCATCAGGTGGCTTATTCCATGAATGTCAGTTTTGGATTCATGGGTTTTCTGCTAAGCATACACAAATATTGGAAAATCATCTCGTTGCACATGATGGTAAAGTGCTCCAGAATGAGTCTGATCTAAGTTCTCCGAATTCAAGAACACGGAGTTATATAATCGTGCCATCTCATCTCTCGCCCTCAAAATATCCCAGTAACAGTTCAAAGGTTGAAATGGTTACAGACTGGTGGGTAGAACGATGTTTGCATCTCAAGAAATATCTCGAGCCTAAAGATCATGTCCTAGGAAGACCATTTCCTAAGTTTCCTATAGAAGGGTTTAGTGGCCTGAAAGTTTCATCAGCAGCATTCACCGGTATTGACATTCTTCATGTGAAGAAAGCCACCGAATTATTAGGGGGTACATACAGCGAAGATATGACTCCACAATCTTCAGTTCTTGTTACAAAATCTATAGTCAGCCTTCGCAAAGACAAACTTGAACATGCTCAAGAATGGAAAATTCCAATTGTCACTGCCGATTGGCTTTGGGATTCGATTAGATCAGGGACTAAAGTGCCATTTGCCAAATACAGATGCAGAGCCACAAAACAACCAGCTTCAGCACCTATCCCAAATAAAGAGTCAGTACCAAGACATGTTAGCAATCCAGAACAAAAGATTAGCCAAAACAAGGGCTCAATTTCTAGATCAAGTACACTTCCTTCACGGTCCTCATCTAAAACACGCCGCATTGCGCCCTTAGATGAGAGTGCATTTGCACCATTAGATACCGAATCCACCCCAATAAAAGACGAGGAAGAATCGATTCCTCTCCCTATCCATCTCGAACCCGAATCATCAGAACTCACTCCTCCTCCCCCTTCGAAACCCGAACCTCTGTCTGAAATCCCCGCCAACTCACACTCCACAGATCCTACCCCCGCCACAAACTCCCATTCTTCATCTACCGCACGAACCCCCGAAGAAAATCCCATCGACATCAGTTCTCTCCTCGCCAAAACAAAGCGTCCTGGTTCTTCCGTTTCCGTCTCAAATGGCACAGGTGCATCCAGCGATCCCAATTCCAAGCGACCCCGTCAACCCCGCGGTAAAGCAATCATGGGCCGCGCCCTCTCCAACGTATCAACCGCCTCTCTCGCCTCCTCCGTAGACTCCACTGCTACGACCGGCCCCGCGGTAATCTATCCGCGCGAAGAAAGTCAAGATGAAATAAACGAATTCATGAATCTTCAAGGCGATAGAGAGAAAGTGGTGGAAAATATTCCTCCAGCGACGCAGTTGGGATATATGGATAAAGAAGGTGAGGAGTATCAGATGATGGTTCAAGGAATCATGGAGGGAAAGGGAAAGGAAGTAGTTGAGAGGGAAATGAGTGTGGTGAGGGAAATGGAAAAAGCGAAGAGGGGATTGGGACGAAAAGGGACGATTGGAGATTTTTCAAATGTGGGAGGGACTGGGGGGAAAGGCGCTACGGGCACGAGAACAAGTGCAAGGAATAGGAAAAGTTAGTTGGCGCGCGGGTTCTAGTGAAATACCTCGGGGTGTATTGGGTGCGTGTAATGGATTATTGGATGATAAGTAATAAATTTGGTGTTCGATAGGGTTTACTGATCGATGGATGTATGATATGGATTAAATACAGGATAAGCGAAATGTTTTTTTTTTTGATTATATACACGAAGATGGATTAGGATAGAGTAGGTAGGATTGGACGAGGCAAAGATAAGACATAACACTTGAAGCCTAAGAGTAATGAATGGACAAATGAGAGATGAATAGTTAATGAAATGAATATATGATTCTTCTCTTCGGTTTAACTCTATATCCCGTATTCAGCCTGTTGTATGCAAGCGTTTTTGGTTTAGAAAATCTCTGTGGTTTCTTGTGTGCACATGCACATGGACACTATGCGTAGGTGAGGTATAGTGTAATATGCAAGCATCGATATACGTATTTTTTCTTGACTGTAACTGTTTTGAAATATATCTACCTCTTTTATTCCCCATTTCTATTTTTGATATTTTTCCTTCCTCCCAATCTACTATAATCTCATCGAATTTTATTTTATTTTATGCCCAACCTCATTCTGTCATTCATTCACTCTTCATCTCTCATCTCTCCCTAATTCCCAACATCTAGCATCTAGCACCTAACATCTCCCCGCCCACTCCCGATACCAATCCAAACACTCTCTATTCGCCACACTCGCACTAATCTTCACATCCATGCCACACAAAATCTGTTTCACCGCCACCTCGACCTTCTTCCCATTCGTCGTCACGGGTATGTCAAAGCACTCTTCGATAATCCCGGGTACATGTCTCGCGCTCAATTCCTTCCTCACCACTTTCCTAATGCCTTCTTTCAACTCCTCATCAAACTTATAGCCCGGAGCCATCTTCACGAAAAGAACGACCGTCTCATCGTCATCTGTAGGACGTCGTCGTCCTATACAGAGCGCATCTTCGATTTCGGCGTGGAAGTGTTTGAGAAGGATATTGTAGATTTCAGCCGAGCCGAAGCGGACACCGGATGGTTTGAGGATGCCGTCTGAGCGACCCAGCATGTAGATTCCTCCTGTTGCGGGGGAGAATTTGATGAAATCGCCATGATGCCATACACCCGGGAAAGTTTCGAAATAGGATTCGAAGTATTTTTTATCGCCTGGAGATGGGCTTGAAGAGGCTTCTGAACTGTGAGAGGTGGAGGGAGAGAAAAATGTAGTGGGCTGACTGGGGAATGGTTTGGTGCAAACTAAGTCTCCGGGTTCGCCTGCTGGGACGGGAGATCCGGCGGGGGAATAGGCGGTGATGGACATGCCGAGGGCGCGGACCTGGATTTCGCCGGTGTAAACCGGGGAGAGAGGGGACGGGGCACCGAAGAGGGAGATTATATCTGTGCCGCCTGTTATGGAACCGAGGTTTATAGTTGGGGGGAAGGCGTTGTAGATGTATCTGAAAGTTGAAGGAGCTAATGGTGAGCCAGTGGAGTAAATTGCGCGGAGGGTGGAGAGATTGATGTTTTCTTTCAAAGGGAGAATGTTGTTTTGTTCGAGAATGGAGAGATATTTCGCACTGGTTCCAAAATGGGTGATTCCTAATTCTTGGATGAGAAGAGGCATGGAGAGATTTGAATGCGGTTTGAAAGGTGATCCATCGTACAGAACTATAGCGGTTCCGGAAGCCAAGCCCGATACGAGCCAATGCCACATCATCCAAGTGCACGTTGTGAAGTAGAAAAGGCGATCACCAGGACGAATATCGCAGTGAAGGATGTGTTCCTTTTTGTGTTGGATGAGAGTTCCTAGAGAAGAGTGAATGATGCATTTGGGTTTTCCGGTTGTTCCTGAAGAGTAGAGGATATACAGTGGAGTATCTGGTGGGAGCTGTGCAAATTCTAATGGGCATCTGGATCAGTAGCGCTGGAGTTTGTAAGTAAGTATTTGGGAAGAATTGAGAGCGAAAGATGTTCAAATAACCCACCTTTTCAAAAACTCATCATAAGTCTCTGCTTTCCCATCCTTGATATCAAACCCTTCAATCTCAATTGGAAGATTCACAGTATCGAAAATAATCAATCGTTTAAGCCCCTTTAATTCCTTTACAATCTCACGTGTTTTCGTCAAACTTTCATGAAACTTTCCATTATACTCGACCCCATTGTCAGCAAAAAGTACGACCGGCTCAATCTGCACCAATCGATCCAAGACAGCCGCAACTCCCGTATCAGGACTGACACCGGTCCATATTGCTCCTATAGATGCAGCAGCTAACATTGCCACCACGGTATTCGTATGATTTCCTACGAACCCAGCAACTCGGTCATGAGGTTTGACACCGAGCGTTCGTAAGGCATTAGTACATTTTCGAACTTGTTCTCTGAGTTCGGCCCATGAGACAGTATTGCGAGTGGATTCTGTGGCGGCGATGATAGCTGGAGAATCTGGGTCAATAGTAAGATTAGCGGGGTAAAGGAGGTTTTCGGCAAAGTTGAGGAGAGATCCTTGAAAGAAGTTGGGTCGAGGAAACATTGGGGCAATATTGTCAACAACCTATTATTGTTAGTCTTGTAAGAATATGTAGAGTTTCTCCGTGAGAATGATTTCATTGTTTGTGAGCCGACCTGATATCAAAGTACATAGAACTACCACGCCTCAAATCAATCATTCTCTCAAACATCTTAAATATATCTCTCGATCACAGCCCAAACGGCGCTTTAAGAGAAGACGTGATCGACCTTGTCGACCTCCAACCTCCCTATCCGGCATATACCTCATTATCCTAACCCAAGGAATCGTACCCATCACATGGCAATACAAAAACCAGCTCCCTACGTACCTTATCAAACCCCCTCTCCGCCCTAATCCCCGTGAGCCACCAAGTCTCCTCCCAGAATTCCGCTATATTCCCAATAGACCATTCATACAAATCATCATAACTGTCCAAGTTCAAGTTATATTTCTTGTTAACAATCTCTTTAAATTCGTACATGCGCGTGGAAGTGGGATCCGGATGACGCCAAAGTTCTGTAGGTAATGTTTCAGACCCATTGGGAGGAATTTGTGAACCCATGATTGTGACTTGATGAAATGGTAGTATACGGGTTGACTTTGGGAAAGAGGAGTGTACTGCAAGTGGAGAATTTGGGATGAATGAAGAAAGGGGAAGCGATTCTCAACAGATTTTTGCGATGGGTGTGTTACTATATTGAGGATGAGATTCGGGATGTGGGGGATTCAAGGGGAAGTCCGGCGGTGAATTCCAAACTCGGAGAAGTATTTGGTGAAGACGATTGAGTGTAAGTTTGCTTGATTTTTGCAAGAAATATTGGTGGAAATTGAAGAAATTGAGGAATTTCAATGTATATCTTGACATGAAACTATTTACATATACATATTGTAGGTACATCTCAGTGTCCTTCCACAATAGAGATGCGGAAAGGTTCCGAGCGGATTGTTGCGGAACCTGTTGATATCCTCAGGCAACATTCCGAGGTTAGCCATATGAACTGGAACTGGCGGGTGTAGAACGGATAATAATTTTGAGACATCTTCACTGACATCTTCACTGACATCTTCACTCAGGTCCGTGTTCTTTTTTTCAATATCAAATATTCAAAGGCACTTACCTGCATATCTGTACTTGGGGTTCTTACAGTGATTTTAGTCATCATACTTATATACATATCGAGGTATATATGCTTCAGACTGCATGTATTGGGCAATACCCAATCTACGTGGGAAAAGAGTCAACAACGGGAACACGACCTAAAGTCACCACTAGGTACGTACCGAAACCCCTCCATCACCGGTAGCAACGGGAAAAAGAAAAGGCAGCTTAGAACTTCCAAGCCGCCCGCTCCCGCATAGTAAAATAATCTGGCATCGGTCGATGAACTTATATAATATTCGATTTCTAGATTCGATTTCTAGACCTTTCACAAAACCACTAAATCGAAAGCTGCTAGTAACAGTATCAAATTTAAGCTCAAGAACTTCTTCATGCTATTAACATGCATTATGAGTATACTTGTGATGCACGCAGTGTACCTAGGCACCTATTGGATGACTTTTGCATTGGATGTGTACACTGTAATTTTGAAAGCTTATAGTCGATCGTTTCTCGGGAGAGAGGGGTACTCCTTGAATTAGCAAAGCAAGTAAAGTCGACCCAAGGGATCTAACGTCTGAAGAATTTATACTTCTAAAGAATTTTGACTGGTGCTTTCGCGAGCAAGATTGGATTCAAGGGCGATGCTGGGAACGTTTGAAGGGTATGCATCAAAGTGATATCATAGTCATGGGATCTAGACATGTTTCCGCCCGGACAAGAGATCACGATGAGAGTGTAAAAATTGCATTGTCACGATTCACGATCGCATTTCTTAAGAGGAGGGAGGGCACATGGAGGGCTGGTGATGTTCCACTTAAACACTCTATTTGGGATTGCATGGAGAGTTGATATAAGTGAGGGGTTGAGATACGCGTAGCTTGACATATGGCATGGGTGCATCGTGGCAGTGAACTGAGCGAAGGAACGTTTAAAAGCAATTTTCAAGAACAAACGTCAAACGTATCATGACGCGTGCGATACGCTCTATACGCTTATGCGCTTCTACCCTTCTGTGGAGTGGGAGAAAAGCCTGCGGTACTGCTGTTTGATCTGGTACACACCGACTAGGTCAGGGGTAAAGGAGTGTCTAGCGATAGTTTGGAAGTTTGGAAGTTTGGTACCAAGTCAGCCCCAAAATGAAAGAAGTGGGAAGTAGGATTGAGGTACCGGTACGCATTCAAACAATAAAGAGAAATCGATGATTTCATTCTCTTCGTACTAATCTGGTAGCTTTAAATGAAGTAATGTGAAATTCAAGACTTTGCCCTACAACAGCGGTCCTGGAGCATCGAGAATCAAGAAATCAAAAGTACTAGGCCTTGCAAGTGTGTGCTAGCCCAGAGTAATTAGTTTGCACAAAAGTACAACTCGGAAACCCAGAGGAAACTCAGAATCTCAATAAGCTGCATAATTTGCACAAAAGTCAAGCTTCTCATTGGTTGCATCGCAGTTTCTGACAGCCCTACCAGTCAATCCAAAAAATGGAAAAGCCGAACGGATCCAGATAACCACTCTTTTTGGTGTTTGGGACCAATCACATAAGGTTATCTAACGCTTCCAGCCATTTCAATCCTGGAAAAGAGGGAAAAAAAAAAGGAAATTAGATATATCGGGATTTGAAAAAGACCGCAAACTGCGCAGACTGATCTAAAGGCGGCGAGTGAATTTGAGGATATTATATAGGTGAATGTGTGTGTGTAAATCTTCCCAAAGCGAAATATCCCGGTAAAGCGGCAAGTCAAATAGAGGTAAGGATAATCCGCAAACCGACGGATGCACCGGACGATTAGCTTCTTGTTGTTAGAATTATTCGATCCTTCCGTTGCTCATCGATGCTCATCGCCGCTCATTCTCCGAAAGCACTCTTCAAATTCATAAAGTCTAGATTAATAGATTAATACGGAGCCAAAAGCCGCTTTGATCATCGTTCATTAGAAGATTTCAAAGACTCTCTTGGGTACCGCCAACTTATCACATAATTAGTAGATTTGACCCATGTTGAACCTCATTTACCTCGAGTAACCTAAAAATCCATATCTCTTCTCCTTTATTTCACATTTTCACTCTTCTTCCCTTCTTTGCGAATTGTGATCCCCCGTTACATCGAAACTTTATGAAGGTCTTCTTATCCAAAAGGGTACTGCCTTGTTGATTGTCAATCTTACTTATCATCATAATAATAAGACAGCATAAGCCAGACTATATTGGTGTGTTTCTACAAAGTATCGATTGAGAGAAGTCCTGCTCGAGTAGCACTTTCGAAACTATAATTGAGTGTTTGGAGTGTCTACAGTAACTTCTTCAACGATAGCTTCAGATCCAGCCACATCTCGTCCCTCTTTTCCTGGCAAGAACCTCTCACCGCGGTGACCGATTAGCCAGCCTTAAATCTCCCACACAGGAGGAGAGAAGGAACGAAGAACGAAGAGCGATCAACGAAGAACGAAGAACGATCAAACGGTGTTTTACTTTCTCGTCGCGAACTTAGTTTCAATCCTCTCAACCACCATTCTGCCATTAGAAGGATTACTCCCATTCATTCTATTTCTTGAAAACGAAAATAAAGAAATCAGCATCGGCATTCAGCATCAACAAAAAAGTATTTCACACCTCACACCGATTTAATATTGCAACAATATACCAATACACACTACACGGCCAATCCTAACTCACTAAAGCATAAAATTCCATCCTTGGTATGTCTACTTTTTCCTCAATTTCCCTCAATTATCGATCTAATCTCGATTGCCTTAAAAATCGATGCCCAATTTAACCCTCATCGTGCCCTGGGCACAAAAACGTCTGTACTTCTTATGATATACTTATACTACTTCGAAGTCTTCGTTGTCTTCTTCCATCGTTCTCCCCTGTCAAGATTCTTGAGAACATATATCAAGTGCTTCGCCCCACAGCTCTTCTCCCTGCATTATAAATTGTCCACGTTACTGATATTAAATCCTCATCCTAGAACTCCGTCGTTAGTTAATCTGCCAACCACCTTCGTCATAGCCCACAGACTACGAATACCCCTTATTGATCTTCGATATCTATTCCTCTATATCCCTCCGAGTCAATTATCTCACAAGTCAATAAACAAAGGTCTCCAGTTCTTTGGAGAAACATCGGCATACGACTTGCATTCAGTCTACGCTTCCAACGCTATATACTCTAATCTGCTCTGAGCAGGGTTTTTGATTCATGAACACGATGCCTCAAAGACTTCCTCGAAATCCGTTCGCTAGTTCTATCACGCCTGCGGCTATTACACCGCAATCCGACAACCCTACAGCTCGTAGGTCGTCGACCTCAAAGGGCAACAGATTGACCAATTTCTTCACCTCTTCACCAAAGAGCAAGGAACAACAATCTGCTCAGGCGGCCCTCCTTTCTGCTGTTGCCGCACAACAACAGCGCCTTCTGGATAATCCATCGCCCAGTCCAGCATCTCTATCTCTTCCCACAATTTCTCTCTCCACTGCAAAGGCTGGCGAGGTCAACATGGATGAACCACCTACGACACTTTTTCAACCACCTTCCGTCGCAGAGGCAAAGTTGCAATCAAGAAGAGATGCACAATTTGGTCCATTGAACCACCCAAGTCATAAATATGTCAGTCAGCATCATGGAGTCCTTGAAGATCCAGTCGAGGACGAACCGCCATACTATTACCTTCTTACTACATACATAAGTTACTTGGTCTTGATCATATTTGGACATGTTCGGGATTTCTTTGGAAAAAGGTTCAAGCCTGAAGCCTACCGACATCTTACTGCTGCCAATGGCTACGCCGCCCTCAACAGTGATTTTGACAATTTCTATGTTCGCAGATTGAAGTTGCGTATTGACGATTGTTTCGCTCGTCCAATTACTGGAGTTCCTGGTAGATACATTACTCTTATTGACCGAAAGACTGATGATTTCAACAAGAACTATCAATATACCGGCACGTACACAGAAACTCTGAATTTGAGTTCTTACAACTATCTCGGATTTGCTCAGTCAGAAGGACCATGCGCAGATGCAGTTGAAGAGACAATCAAGAAATACGGAATTAGCTCTGCGAGTCCTCGAGCGGATGCCGGTACTTCGGATTTGGCCTTGGAGGTTGAAGACAGAATTGCTAAGTTTGTTGGAAAACCCGCTGCAATGGTATTCTCAATGGGTTTCGCCACCAACGCAACTGCTTTCCCAGCTTTGGTTGGAAAGGGCTCACTCATTATTTCTGATGAATTGAATCACGCTTCTATCCGTATCGGTGCACGTCTTTCAAGAGCTATGATCATGTCCTTCAAGCACAATGATATGAATGATTTGGAAAGACTTCTCCGGGAAGTCATCTCGCAAGGTCAACCTAGAACTCATCGACCATGGAAGAAGATTTTGGTTGTAGTTGAAGGTTTATACTCCATGGAAGGTACAATGGTCAACTTACCAGGAGTCTTGGCTCTTAAGAAGAAGTACAAGTTCAATCTTTTCGTCGATGAGGCTCATTCTATTGGTGCTATGGGTCCTCACGGTCGTGGAGTATGCGATTACTTTGGAATTGATCCTGCCGAGATTGATATCCTTATGGGTACTCTGACTAAATCTTTCGGTGCTAACGGAGGTTATATCTCTGGTGAAAAACATATCATTGATAAATTAAGGCAAACAAACGCGGCAACTATGTACGGTGAATCACCTACCCCACCAGTCTTGATGCAAATTCTCAGCGCTTTGAAAATCATCTCTGGAGAAATCGCTCCTGGTCAAGGTGAAGAGAGATTACAACGAATTGCATTCAACTCGAGATATCTCCGATTGGGATTGAAGCGCCTCGGTTTCATTGTTTACGGTCATGATGATTCTCCAATTATCCCAATTGTTCTGTACAACCCCGCCAAAATGCCTGCTTTCTCCCATGAAATGCTTCGAAGAAAGATTTCCGTCGTCATTGTCGGTTATCCCGCCACGCCACTCATCTCTTCCCGTGCCCGCTTCTGTGTTTCCGCAGCCCACAACAAGGATGATATGGATCGTATCTTGGCTGCTTGTGACGAAGTTGGAGACGTACTTCAGCTTAAGTTCTCCACTGGTGTAGCCGGTGGTGCAGAACATCTACCTGATGGTGTTACACCTGAAATGGAAAAGGAATGGCAAAGGGCAAACGGTCTTCAAGGAGTTGTTAAGCCCCCACGCTGGTCGTTGAGAGAAGTCATCGCCAATGGTGTAGCAGATGTCAAAGAACCTTTGCGTTGATGGGTTTTACCCCACTTTATGAATGACTTATGTACATTACGTTCTTGTCCGGTGCTTTTTTTTTTCTGTTAATTCATTTGGCGCGGCATATCGTTAAGATACCCCTTGCCATGGCCTTTTTGATTTTTTTTCTATTCATTTATACATTTTTCCTCTTCTCTACTATGATTTGGTTTTTTTCTCAAATGACCAGTTTTTTATGAGGAATATTTTTGGTGGATGATTGATTTGATTCCACCGATTGATGGTATTGGGGAGTGGGAATAACCAAAACAAAACACTCGTTAAGGCGTCTAGAGAAGGACAATGATTTGTTACAGATACAAAATCAAATACCGATACAGATCTGTATTGGGGTTTGTGTTTTGTGGTTGAAAGCTGTGGATGGATGGGATGAAAGAGAGAAAAGTGGTCGGGAATGCGATTACTATAATATTAATAATTAGATGATTGATGAATGGGTATGGGTGAAATGGATTGGGGTGTATATGATTGGGATGGATGGAAGGTATGGCATAGTGATGGTTAAGTGGAAGAGGAACGATGAGAAGATGGAAGAAGGAAATGGAGTAGACAGATGAAGAGACAAGACAAGAAGAGAAGAGAATTGAATTAATGATTGAGAATCGACGATATATTCATGTTTTGAAGTTTTGAAGTTTTGAAGTTTTCTTTAATTTTTTTTCTACGATATCATGCATGACTTTATTTTTATTTTTACTGTGAGGTCGAAATGAATTGACTAATAAATTGACAAGTGATCCTCGGGTTTGATCGACACTAAAAAAAATCGATCGTCAGGGGAATAATTTTTTTCTTGAATATTTAATGCAAAAAGCCGTTTTCCGATGGTGAAGTTAAAAATCGATATTCATGTCGATCAATTGTGAATTGTGAATTTTGAATTTCGATCGTTGTGTTGGTGTGGTGGCCTGAATAGATGGGCAGGAATTCTGGCTGTAAGGCTGCAAGCTTGTGAGGGAATGGAGAAAAAAGTCTATGTCGTCATTATAGATATACGACGTGTGTAATGTGGTAGGATGATGAAATACGAAGGTGGAGGCTAGATTAGGTTAGAGGGGAAGGAGGGAGTGAGGGGAAGGAAGAGAAGAAGGAGTTTGTGATGGGGGTTGTGGTATTTTAGGTTAGCTTAGCTTATTAGGTAGGTTGGGTTGGGTGCTTTATTGGATTGGTTTACTATTGGGTTGTTGTTGTTGTTTGGTTATTATAGAGTGAAGAAAGAGTGAAGAGTGAAGAGTGAAGAGTGAACGATTAAGGATCAAGGACTATTATCCCATCTCATCGAATTGTAACATCTTCACATTTTCACACACACACACACACACACACACACACACACATACAACACCCTCTTCTCCTCTTCTCCAATTCAATCCAACAAACAACCCACCCCATCCCATCTCCCCCCCAAAATGACACTAACACAAACCCTCCTCCACCTCACCAACTTCCGCTCTCCCTTCCTGCGCACGCTGGTCCCCGCCGTCGGCGCAGCCTATCTCCTGCAAGCCGCCGTCGCAATCCCGAGTATCGCGGCCCAGTCCGAACGCTTCTATGATTTGAGTGGCAGTTTGACGTATTTGAGTGTGACGGCCTTGTCGCTTTATTTGCCGACGGTGAGGGCGAGGGCGGCGGCGGGGGTGCTGGGGAAGGGAAAGGGGAGTGTGGAGGTGAGTTTTTTTTTCCCTTCTTCTTTCTTTGGGGTTTCTTTTGATTATCTTTTGGTTTTGGGGGGGGTTGGTTTGGGGAAGAGGAGAGGAGAGGGGGAAACGGAGGAAAAATGATGTGAACTGTGAATCAAAAACTAATCTGATATGAAATAGTGGCCTAAACTCCTCGAAGCATTTACCGGAACTGGAGGTGCCAATGCGTTGAATTGGAGACAGGTAGTTTTGAGTGCGGCGGTGGGGATTTGGGCTACGAGACGTATGTATTTCTTGGATTCTTTTGATTTTGATTTTTTTTCGTGTTTTCTGCTCGATGTGGTGATTGTGACTTCGGGATGGATGGATGGATGGGTTGGGGTAATTCACGAGCTGGGGATTTCCAGTCGAAATTGTTTGTTTTGGAGTGTATTGTATCGTGTCACGTTGCTAACGTGGTGACAAATTAGTTGGTAGTTATCTCTTCAAGAGAATAATGGAGGATGGACATGATTCTCGATGTGAGTTTATTTTTATTCTGCGTTTCTCGATTATGATGTGTGAGAGAGGGGGAATGGAGTCGGGGTCACTATTCTCTCTCATACATATATATATACATTTCTTCTTCTTCCCCCCCTTCTCCTACATCAACCCAACTGACACCTTCCCAGTCGACGAAATCAAAAAATCCCCCACTAAATTCTTTGGCGCCTTCTTCGCCCAAGCAACTTGGGTATCCCTTTGCTGTCTCCCCGTCCTCGCCCTCAACTCTCTCCCACACCCTCTTCTCTCCACCCTCCCCACTCTCATGCTAACCGATATCATCGGACTTCTCCTCTTCGCCGGCGGTCTCTCCTTTGAAATCGTCGCCGATCGCCAAAAATCCGCCTGGGTCGCTGCGAAGAAGAGAAAAGAGCACGATGAGGATTTCCTCACCAGTGGTCTGTGGAGTAAAAGCAGACATCCAAATTATTTCGGAGAAGCGACGTTGTGGACTGGAATTGCGGTTTTGAGTGCGGGGGTGCTTACCGGGAGAGTAGGTCAGTTGGGGATGGGCACGAGTGGGGTTTGGGGGAAGGCGTTGGGGGTGGGTATTGCGGGAGTGAGTCCGGCGTTTGTGTGCTTTTTGTTGTTGAAGGTTAGTGGGGTACCGTTGAGCGAGGGGAAGGTATGTTGATCATTTCTTTTGTCGTTTGTTTTTGGTTGAGTGGTGTTGTTAAATGCGGTGTGCACATGGTGGAAAGGGGGACTGGGAGAGGAGAGAATGAGATCTTACCCGCTTGCTCAGGCGAAAGCACCTTTTGATGCGAGAAACGCATCTCTCTCCTCGCCTATCCTGTTGAGATGGTAGCGCTCCTAGTCACGTCTTGGAATACTCGCGAGCGCAAGTACCATGCGTAGAGTTTTATTCAGGAGTCTCTCTCGGATAATCAAGTCTCTCGATCCCATTGGAGACTAGGAGCGCTACCATTTCAATATCTGGAGTGCTCGATATGTTGGACTCGGAAAACAGGAAATCGATAAAGGAGAAGAGCATGCACGTGAAAGAAAAGAAGAGAAGAGAAAAGCAAACTAATTCGCGTCCCTCCCAAAAATAGTATGATAAGAAATACGGACATCGAAAGGATTATCAGCAGTGGAAGGAGAATACTCCGATGTTCATTCCGAAGTTTTAGGGGGTTGTGGGATGGATGGAAGGAGGGTTAGATTGAAGAATGAGTATGTTGGGGATATGCTCTGTTATTCTATGCTATTCCTAGGAACTTGATGGGTCGAGGGAAGGGGGTGGAGAGGAAAGGAAAGGAAGATGAGGAGAGATGAGGGACGGTCGTGGACGGGGCAGGGGTGCTGAATCGATACTTGTAGTGAAAGGACAAGGGAAGATATACTCTTAGGTTTACATGATATTAATCCACTCAATCACTCACTCATTCACTCACTCAATCATTCAATCATTCACATCTCTTTCAAGAAAATGAGAATACCATCTCATACCATCTCATCCAATCAAGCCCTATCTAATGAAAATTAATAAAAGAATCAAACGCATCAAAGTGTATCAATCATGTTTTCATTTTCATAATCATTCGTTAAAAGTATGCCTGCCTGTCTGTCTGCTACCCACCCATCCATCTCCCTCCCTCTCTCATTTCAAACCGTCCTCCCCCTCCCTAACACACATAGATAAATAAACAAGAGCAATCAAATACAATCCATTGAGAAAACACGCAACCAAAGAGGAGGAACAAAAAGAGTAAAAGAAAAGGAAAACACAAGAAAATAAACCAACTAAGCCCATCCATCCATCCATCCATCCATCATTCCCATCCATTCTTTTCATCCCTCCAGCGAGAAAATCTTGTCTATTTATCTACCCATCCATATCCATGCCAACAAATACGTGTGTGTACCTTTCTTCTGGACGAAGAAACGGTGATGTAGGTAGGTATGTACGTAGGTAAGACAACAAGAATGACCCAGGAACAGATAGAAGACGCTTCCCACTCATCCCCGCAGTGAGAGACCGAATCGATCAATCGAAAGGAAACCAATAAAAAAACAGGAAGGAATGAAGAAATGCAACAGCGCTATGAGGAGGGAGTCGATGCTAGGTGCAAGCAAGTACAAGCGCAAATGTCATTATGTAGCAGCCGTAACGTCGTATTTTGTTTCATCTGTCGTTCGTTTCATCGGTTCATTTCATCATATTCGTAGAGAGTTGGATTTCTTTTTTTTCCCTTTCCGCTTTCTCTTCTCGTTTTCGTCTGCAATTCCTCTGTGCAGTTTCGATTCTTTCAATCGACCGGCTCACATTGACGATTCGATCCCGGCAATGGGAATAGAATTACCAACGTCTGCTAGGTCTCTCGCGTCTTCTATGATCATCCCAGATGATTTCTCTCTCGATGATTCGCTCATCGTCGTAGCCGCTATCTCTTTCTCTTCTTCGCTCTGCTCGCTCCCAATCATCGCGTTCTTTTTCACGACGTTCAATGCGAATGCGTTCACGTTCGATTTCACGGATGCGATCTTGTCTTTCGCGGCGGACGGTTTCGGAGAGGGCAACGAGTTCCTCGACATCTTGCTAGAGGCTTGTTAGTATATCCTCCGAGGAATGTAAGTAAGGCAGGGAGAAAACTTACGTATCTGAGATATTGAAGAATGTAATAGAAGAATTCTGTTTCTTCATAATCATAACCAAGTTCCTCGATAGCTTCCTTGGCGACCAAGTCCTTGGTGATTTCAGTCCATAAATCACCCATCCTATTCTTTGGTGGACCACGAGGTAATGGGAAGCCAACTTGACGATCAGAGCTTTCCTCAATACGTTCGTATTCTCTTTCTCTCTCGTATGTTGGTCCACTGGCATGGCTTCGTGGTTTACGACTGCTAGAGTTAGAGATATCGATGTCAATGGTGGTTGAAGATTCGCGTGGAGAAGGTGCAGCACTTTGACGCTCACGAATCTCGATATGCTCAGTAGTACGATTAGGACCTTCTCGCTCACGTTCGCGGATCTCGATTCTCTTCTCGACACGTTCAGGTTCTTCTCTCTTGCGCTCACGCTCAGGATTGAACTTGCTTCGTCGTACACCATTGAATCTCTGCCAAGTGATTTCTTGACTTCCACCCCCAACACCATCTAGTTGGATTCTCTCAGTTCCGGGAGGAACATCAACGATTGACCAATCTTTTGTGGCACCGTTAAATGCTTCACCAATAACGGCTCTTTCTTGAACCTTACGGGCATAGAAATCAGCTTCATCTTCATCCCGGATATCGAGATTTACTCTCTCCTTGTCAGGACGAGCACTCAAACTTCTTCTTCTGCTGAGATCAATACGGGTATCTCTAACACGTAGCTTATCACGCTCTTGCTCATATAAGATGGAATCATCATAATATTCTCTTCGTGGAGGAGGTGACATAGGCTTTTCGCGACCACTGGTTTTTGTTTTTGTGATATCAACTTCCGTATTGTTACCGGAACGATAGATGTCGATTTCAGTCTTTTCGGTTTTTGGTGGTGCAGGGGTGTGGGCACGACGGGGAGGTGGGGGTGGACTTGGAGCTGGCGCTCTTTCGAAACCTTATTTATTAATTAGTAAGGGTAAACTATAATTATCGTGGGAATGACAGTTGAACTTACCGTGATCGATATGACGATGATGTGTAATAATTTCTCGGTGAATGGGTGGTGCTCGAATAATCTCTGGTGGTGGGGTTGGTGGGGGAGATGGTGATGGAGAAGGTTCTCTCTCTCTCTCTCTTTCAACAATTCGAGTGTGAATTCTCTCAACTTGTGGCGGTGGGGAAGGTGTTCTCTCTCTCTCTCTTTCACGCTCAATGATTCTCTCACGAATGCGAACTGGAGAAGGTGCTGGAGGAGATGGTGAACGCTCTCTGAATCTTTGTCTTGTCTCTATAACTCGTGCGCGAAGTTGTGGTGGGGGTGATGGAGATCTTGGAGTTTCCTTTTCTCTTTCAATAATTCTTGTTCGGATTCTCTCCGCTGGTGGAGAAGGCTCTCGTACTCCAACCTCACTTCTTACAATTCTCTCACGAAATCGTGGAGGAGAAGGAGATCTTGCTCGTCGCACAAGTGGTCCGTCATTGAATGTTTCTCTTTCGCGTTCTCTTACGACCATTTGACCTGGTTCTGATCGCGTGTAATCATCTCGTAAGAAATCCAATGAACGTCTTCGAGGTCTTTCTGGACCTCTTCGGGTACTGAAGTCAATAGTCTCCTCATGATCACGCTCTCTTACTCGAACTTGAGCGGGCGGTGGAGCTGTCGCTCGATAATAAGTATCACGCTCATCAAATTCCGTCACTCGAGACGGGGCGCCATGTCGAGACATGTTCGGTTGCTTGTATTGTTGCTTGTACGGTCGATATACTTATTGAAAGCGTTTGTTTGTATTCGCACAGGTGTAGTATTTTAATGATGTCGGGAATACAATCACGTATGTGAGATGTGAATCACTTAGGTATCTACCCAAAGAGTAGATGGGGTACGTGTTTGGTAGATGTGAAACCGAATAAGCCAAGGAAGAGAAAAATCAAAAGAAGAAAAATGACGAGGCTGGAAGATGGACGGGTTTTGTATAATGGACAATGATGGTGGAGGTGGTGTTAGGTGGTGGTATTGAATGAAGGTAATAGAAATGAATAGATGGGATGACGAGCTACTGGAGGGGCTTGCGTCGGTTGGGCTGATTTGGGTATCTGGAATTGGCTCGTGAATAAAGTTGAAGAGGAGTGCAAGGTGTGTAAGGTGCGCAGGGTGTGTGGTGTGTAAGGTTTCGTAAATCCAATCCCAGTTGATTGCCCCGGTGCCCAGCTTGGATGGAGATGTTTTACCGGTGAATAAGTGAGATAAATGAGACTTACAGAGTCAAGTCTTTCATTCAAGGTGGGGAGGTGAGCGGGAAAGAGATCTGTGGTGGGTTGAATTTTTGGGAAAAAATGACTTTGAAGTGGGATTTTCCTCTTTTCCTTGGACTTTCCTCGATGGTTGTGAGATCTAGAAGCGATAGAAAGCTGAAATTGTTGGTGGGGGATTCCGCATGTAATCCGTAATAAGAATTCCAATCAATCAACAATCAATCAATCAATCAATCAATCAATCAATCTTATGAAAGTTGTGAATACTTTGTTGTCACAGGTTGAAAATGGAGAAGATCGTAGAAATATCCTCTTTCCTTTTCCTTTTCCTTTCCTTTCCTTCTTTTTTTCTCTTCTCGTCCTTTCTCTCTGTTCTCCCCTTTGCCCTTCTTTTCAAATCTTCTTTTCCCGCAATAAGATGTGAAATATGAAATATCAAAACTGGAAGATTTCCTGTTTCCTTTGATTGGCTGGGAACGAATTCTTGGACTGGACGGGGTAAATAAATATTCACACGATTGAATAGATATCAAGGTCCCGGTAGTGTTACTCGGTCCAATTCAAGTCTGATGTAATTGTGCAGATATCCACAGCAGGAATGATTGACACTTTGGACTTTGGAGTAAATTGGAGGTGAATGGATTGGATGGTTGAAAACCACCACACGTCTAGGGTAAATGATTCGAGGAAAGAAATTCGTATAAACTCGTGATATTCGTGATAACGTATGCTAAAACAAGATCGAAAATAAATAAAAAAGAGGTCGGTCAATGAGAAAGTATAATGCGAACGAGGTAAGGTTATTCCTTGAGAGTACGATCGTTGGGTTGATGATTATTGTTTGAGCCCAAAGTTCCTGGTGCTTTCTGACACAAGGTAATTCGAGGTGGCAGCAGGGAGGAGGGAGGAGGAGGAGGAGTAGGAGGAGGAGGAGTAGTATGAAGAAGAAAGGCCAGGGAAAGAAACGATCATAAAGTTAATAAAGAGACAGAAAGAAGGTTTGTAATAAGTCAGTCACCGTCACATAGAGAGATAGTTTCATTCATGATAGTAAGCTTCAAAATGGGGTCTGTTGGTCACTGACAGCGGCTCTACTTCCTGGCTAAAGAGGGAGGTCGACTTCAAGGTCTAGTGAGCCGCCGTTCAAACCCTTCAAGCCGTCCTTCAACAGCGTGCTTCCAATCTCCAATCCAGAAAAGATCCAAAATAGAAGATTATCATTTGTTCCAACCAAATTGTGGAATTTTGGATCGAGGGGTGCAAAAGCGCTGCGCTTGAGAACCGAATTAGGTGAACATAATTGCCGCCAACATCACATGTAATCGAAGATATCTCCTATTTGGATGGTGGATAAATCCTACAAGAGCAGTTGTATCTTTCTTCCTGCATGAACATTCCTTCGTCAGTACTTAGTCGAGTAAAGGCGTTTCACTTCATGGTTTGGTTGGTAGTGAAGAGAGAAAAGAGAGGCTGAGTTCCTCTTTACACTCATGAACCATTTGTTGGTCTGGCGACCTGGGCACTCCCGCAGCGGACCACCCGTTGGACTCAGTACTGTACTGACTTGAGACGTGGAGTGGAGCACAAAAGGTGCAACTGTTGGTTACAGAGACCGCCAAGGTATGGGAAAAAGTCTCCTCTTTACATATATGAGCCACAAACCATAGCCTACTTGTAATTTCGCTTTATCGACAGCAACATCAGAGTCATAGATGGGGAGTGTTGCCTTCTTCGCTGAGGATTGGGGTTGTATCCAACGGTAAGAATTTAGCATCTACCTAGGTCCGCCTAGTGAAAAACATTGGCTGACTAGTTTGTTCATTGACTTTTGAGACGTATGTCTCTTCTTCCCTCTCGTGCTCTGTTCTTGTGATACCCAAGTGTGATGTGATGTTGATGTTGATGGATTCAGGTGGGGTCTAGAATTCAAATATACTTGGTTTCGTCGGTTGCTGACCATGAGAATGAGAAGGGATGAACGCTCTCTTCTTCAGATGAAAGTCAAGAATTGATCTTGCTTGTTTGAATTCTATTTCGGGGTTTTTTGTCAACATGAAACATTTACCCTCATGACTTGAATACATTTTTTATATCGTCGAAAGGAGTATTAGCTCGGAGGCTCGGTTCTTCTTACACTCAGAGGTTACACCTGCCGAGTAGGAGTACTTTGCTTGAACGTGATTCTGTGGTTTTCAGATTCGCCCGCTAGATTGTAATAAATAGCTGGTACAGTGCTCAGGATACCTACAAACAGATTACCTTGTATGATGGAAGGTCAAATGCGATGAGAGGCTGCAAGGCTCGATAACGGTTATTGGGCTATGTGAGGCTCCGTTGATATACCTGGAACCTAGCGATAACTTCCTTGGCTTGCAGCAGTGAAGATGGACGGATCATCGTTGGGAGTTCGCTGTACACACTAGGTAGGTAGCTCTCGGGGAAGAATGAAGTTGGCAAGTTAGTGACTTAGTGAGTTAATGAGTTAATGGGCCATTTTCTATTGTGATTCCAAGATATGAAATATCCATGAAGAGGTAAGTTGAAGAAAGTAGGTAGGTCCGTGGTTATCTAGCTAGGTACTACAAACATAGATTCAAGATTGATCACAGAAATCCTCGGCATGTTGAGAGCCCTTTCTTCTCGAATTCTGAAGAGGAAGATACGAGACCGTTTCAATTCCAAATATAAATCAGGATGTTGAAGATCTTTATGAAGAAGCCAAGATTGAAAGGTTATGTGATCGTCGAAACTTTAGCCTGCAAGTTATCTGGATAGGCAAGCACCAAGGACAGTCTACCCTCGACCTACCCTTTGATCTGATGGAACTCAAGGTGTAGGTTTTTTCTAGGATGAAAGGGGATTGCGCAAGACGCTCGAGTGTATATGAAAATTATCAAGGTTTTTTCTTTCTTGCTACAAACTTTATAGATGTTGAAGTCCTACTGGGGAGGTAACTATAAAGAAATCCGTCCATCAAAGCTAACGTCCTAGGTCGGTACTAAGTTTTTGACAAGATAAACTACTTATTACTGGTATCTATCAATTACTGGTACCTATCAAAGTACCTAGGTAGAGAGAGGTATGGAGGCGTAATAAATCTATCAAAGTGACAGCTGTCAGTTTCGACCCAAGCTTGAAATATAGGACGGTCCAGATATATGTAACGAGACCTTATTAGCATTGTTGATCGAGCTGAAGATCTACTAACATGCGCAGTTGTTGGGTTGGTATTGTACGTACCCAATATGGTCGAACCTGAAATAGGAAACCGCCCATACGGCAGCCCCTCGATGGTACGATGTGGTAGAATATTGTGACGTGAGATAGCATCGGGCATTTTGGATGGATGAAAGACGATAGAGTGATTATATTAGACAGGTAGTAGCAGGTAGTAGCAGGTACTCACTTGGTCCATAAACTTACCTAGCTAGATGGGCTGCTGTGCTACGGGTTAGGATCATATGTACTCCCCACAACATCAATGATGAATTTGGAATGAATTGGAGTGAATGACGAAATGAATCAATTGAGCAAGATAAATGTTTACAATCTTTCCATCTGTTCATCGTCCAAAGTTTTCGTCCGATGAGTAGACTAGAGGTAAGGTAGATCAAGTGGCTCTATCTACATCTTCAACCTCGACTTCATCTTCATCTACATCTTCAACTCGACTTCATCTCCATCTCCATCTCCAGTTTCCCCTCCCCCTCCCCCTCCCCCTCTGATCCCTCTCTCTAATCGATAAGAGTGTTCCTGCATTCGTTTGGTGGGGTTCATCTCTCAACCCAAACCCTAACCAGCAACACGACCGTACTAGAAAAGGTTAATCACTAGCTAGATACCTACTAACCACCTAGTAAATCACCCCAAACTCCACTACAACTCCACAACTCTCTATGTCATCGACTCAACTCCCTTAATAATTTTCCTTAATCTCAGATCCCAAAACTCTAGATCATCCCAATATCTTCAATCTTTTCACCCCATTTTCCCCTTCTTTTCTTTCCTTCAGATTTGTTCTTTTCCGGTTTTCCTTGAAAATACATAATGTTCTTTTAATTGGTAACTTGTGCTACAAAAACATACGGCTTCCCACGTACCGTATGGTCTCGCGGGTAATCGCATAAAATACCTACCAACTGTTTTTAAAAGCCTTTCGGTGCATTGCACTTTTCATGAAATTCCCCGACACATTAGGGAATCCCGCAGTCACCATGGCACAGCAATCTTCATCGCCGGCTGATTCTCTCGCAGCCATCGCAAATCTTACGGATGAAATAACCCTTCAGCAAGTTTATCTAGTTTCCTTGAACGATTCCTCGGGAGATCAATCATCGCGCAAAGCAGAAATCGAGGCTGAGATTGCCATTCTGAAAAAGGAACTTTCCTCCCTTCAAGCTTCCTCCTCCCACGGTCAAGCATCTTCTAGTTCTTATAATAACGCCTACATACGCCCATCCGATATAGCTCGTTC